CATCATCACCATCATCAGCTCACCTGCAGAGGGGGCATTTCCTGCTCTTCATGTGGATTTTCCAGAAGTCATTTATCAGACTGCTCTTCTTTTCAACAAGGTGTTTTATCTGAAACAACACACACTCAGAGGTTCAGCCATGGACCAGTCACCAAATATAACAGCGTTTCTCAAACCGTGGTATGCGTACACCTGGTGGGACTTGGGCTCCCTCCACAAGTGTGATGTTTGATATCATTTAGGATTAGGTGATTCTTTTAGTGTGTGTGTATGAGTGTGTACTCACTGGTTTGTTGACCTTTGGCCCTTCACCAGTCACCCCTATTGTTGCTTTTGTAAATTCACTAAGAACTTCCTCGATCTCATCTCCAGAGGCTTTAGGATTCCCCTCCAGGTACTGAAATACAGCGTTCCAATAAAGGAGAGTTGAAGTTGTCTTTGTCTTTAAATCAACAGTTCTGTCTTCTCTTATAAACAGCAAACACACCTGGTTGAGGACCTGGTCTATCTGGTAGACCTCCTGCATGGCTCCATGGTCCAGCAACAGCAGCTGGTTTATTAGCAGGTGAATGGAGGCTCGAGGACACGTCAACATGTGACACGCCAGACAAGAGCCTCGGATCAGAAGGTAGAGTTTCTGATGAAAAGAGCGGGAAACGACGGTACTGTAAAGTCAACACCTGTACACAGGTGTGTGTGTGTGTGTGTGGGTGGGTGGACTCACATCAAAGAAGAGTGGGTTGTACACGGGCAGAGGAAGCTCCACGTGTCCCAGATGACCTGGACACGTCCTGAAGTCCTGACAACAGGTGGAACAAACCTGGAGGAACAGAAACAACAACAAGAGAGAATGAATAGGACCATCAGTTCTTGATTCTCTCTCTCTCTGCTGGAACTGTTTGTCACTTCAGACAAATACACAAATCAGCAGAAAGGATGTGTTTCTGTACATGTGGTGATAACACAGACGTTTGGTAAATGGTACGATGACAGTGTTTTGACACCTGGTCCAGCTCTTCACCACTGACCCACTGGACAACCACGCTGACTCACCTCTTTGTTGTCAGCTGGCCCCAGGGCCAGATCATACAGACTGTTTGGAGCCATGTTCCCAACTGCATCCAGGAACCTGGGGTTAGTGACGGTCTTCACACTCAGCTTCCTGGACAGTAGAGACAGAACACACTGGGTTTGCAGCAGCTCTGCTGAACGGTCCTTCACCACAGTCACGTTAGGACCAGGATGTTTACATTTGATTTCCTGACGTCATGTCCTGTCCTGCATTTATTTATTCGCAATCACTGAGCCTAGAATCACACCTGGTGATTCTGACCCGGTTCTCCAACAATCACAACTGGTCCCTGGTCAAACTCGATAACATCAGTTAGTTCTTCTGCCAACGCATCAACCTTGACGATATTGTGGCCACTCTCTATATACAGTATCTACAAACAGTATCTATATACAGTATCTATGTACAGTATAGTACGCGGTCCTGTTTGTTTTTAACTCCTGTTTAGCATCGAAGCTAACAAGTTAAGTTCTCACCTGATCTCTTCGGCAGAGTACATGCTGAAGGACATGCTGTGTAGCCGCCGCCATGGCACCTCCTTTTCATACAACATGGTTATTTATTCCTTTAATGTATGCGGTTTATAGTTTATTTAAGTTCATGTCGTGGAATAATCACACGCGCGACACAGAGCAGAGTCTGTAACACACGTGGGGAAACAGCAGGATCGGACCAATCAGAGCCCGAGCTAGAGGGTGATTCAAAACCACATAACACGGCGGTTAATGAAACACAATTAATGCTGTTTCTTCGACTGTACAAATATAAAACAAACGTCAATGAAAACATGCTCCACGGACATGAAGGGACGTGGAAATATGCTTTATTGTACATGCTCTTTTTCCTTCTACCCCCCGTCTCCTGATGGTTCCGTCCTCCCAGAAGGCCACGCGCTGTTGCATCAAGATGGCGGCGTCCGGGAGGCACGTAGGGCAGTACTTCAAGAGAAACGGGAGACTTTTGACGTTTAACCTGGAGCCGTCGTTGAGTCGCAGGTATGGGAACATTTGCAGTTATGTTCTGCACCATCGTTGGTTCCGGTCTGAAGTGGGAGATGTTGACGTGCAGCTGTAACGTCTGTCACATCCTGCAGAGGGCAACACAGTCAGAGGACAGAGACATTCTGTTTCATGCTGTCCCTCAAGTCTCTTCTCTTTAAGTCATTCATGTTCTCCTGATTAAGGTCTTTTGGTTGGACGTCATCTCGTGGACAAGTAGCTGCCGATGCTAATAAAGGTAATTCACTCAGGACTGTTACGTCATGTTAAGTAACTAAGTGAACTCGTAAAGATTTAAAGTTGGAGATGTTTTTGCATTTAAACAACAAATAATTCAACATGAATCACTTTATTCAATCTCAGTGGTGACATCGGTGTTTAAACTATTGAAATGTGACCAGTAGGTGGCAGTACGGGCTGTTAAACAATGGTTAGCTGCAGCTGAGGGGGTAACGTTATCTCCGAGGAAGCTGTGGATTCCTAATGTAATTAAAAAAAAATTAAAATCATCTTCAAATTTTAACAATATCTGAGCCGTTAGTTAACGTTAGTTGGAGCAGATTATGACGTTTCTAATCCTGAATCAGTTCATGTTCAGTCACTTTAATGCAGTTCTTCTCTATCGTGATGTTCCAGAGTCTGATGAAAATATCATCCTCCCCAGGAAGAAAACATGGTAAGTGTGGAATCACAGCCGTCTTTCCAACAACTCTGGTTGTGGATGAATCTGTTTTTTCATAACTGTCCATAAAAACTCTCTCTCTCTCTCTCTGTTTCTCCACAACAGGAGCCAGGTGGCAGTGTTGGAGGCTCTGTCGTCCACCGTGGGCAGGGTGAGTGTTGGAGCGTCCCCTCCGACCCTCTGGACACGGCGACCACTGTCTGTCTGATCAGCGTCTCTGTTTCTCTCCGTCAGGATCCTACGATGTACAACTACAGGTTCCAGGATGATCCGTTCCTGTCGCCGAGGTCCTTCCCTGAGTCTGTACGTCACACTCCACCCTCTTTTATTTTATATCCTATACTGACTGTATATGTCAATAGTAGGTTCTGTTAATGTCCGTCTGTGTCCTTAAAAAGAGAGGATTACTACCACTTACTAGTATAACTAGTACCAATACTCTGAACCTTTGAAACAACATTTCTACAGTAAAACTAAGACAGATTGAACTGGTTAATACAGCAGTTACACTTCAGACTTTATGGTCATATTGTAGCAGCATCCCCTTCAGATTACTCTGTGACATCACCGGGACATCACCGTGACATCACCGTGACATCACCGTGACATCACCGGGACATCACTTTTCTAACAGACATATTTGTGTCTGGTTTTTCTCTGCAGAAGTTGTTCTCCAAGGCTCAGGAGTCTGGAAAGGCTGCAGCCAAATACTTCATCGACAGTCATCCCAAGTTCTTCACCAAGGACTTCGCTGAACCACATATACCAGTAAGACGGTCTGTGTCCCACAGACCAGTAAGACGGTCTGTGTCCCAGAGACCAGAACATGTTCTTCTGTGGATGGACTGAATCACAGACGTCGACAGACCGTAGATGTTGACACATTTTATGGTGTATTTTATGTTTTCCATTTTTGATGACTTGTGTGTGTGTGTGTGTGTGTGTGTGTGTTTAGTGTCTGATGCCACAGACAGTGTCAGTGCGTCTTGAGGAGGTCAGTGAAGAAGCTCTGAAGGAACGAATCAGTCTGAGGAAAGTCTCTGCTGCGACTGACATGTACGACCAGCTGCTGCAGTCTGGTCAGAACACACACACACACACACACACTCTCACAGTAGTACCACTGTAGCAGTACTTGTACTTCTGCTACAGTACTGCAGTACCACTGTAGCAGTACTTGTACTTCTGGTCTCCCAGGCACTAACGTCTCCATGGAAACCACTCATGACCTGCTGGACCTCATCTGTCTGTACTGTGACCAAGAACCGGGCCAGGAGGTGGAGCCACAGACGGAGGACGTGGTCAGTTGCTGCTACTTCTCTACAGGCCTGCCTAGAACTTTTGCACAGTACCATCTTTGTACTTCCTGTCGCTCAGGAACCAGCGGAGGAGCGTCCGAGGGTCAGGGGTCGACAGAACAGGGAGCGTCCAGAGTTCACCTGGAGAGAGAACAACAACGCAGAGAGGATCTTCAACCTGCTGCCGCACAGAGACACGCGCTGCTACTCTGCTCTGATCAGAGGCACGGTGAAGGTGTGTGTGTGACCGCCGTCAGCAGCCGTGTCTGATTGTTCCTCTGTCACCTGACGCCTGTGTCTTCTCAGCACAAAGCCTACACCAAGGCCTTCAGTCTGTACACCGACCTGCTGAATGAAAGACTGACGGGTGAGTCGCCCCGAGGCGCGTCCTCTGCCGCGAGGCCGTGTTTCTGTCTGAGTGTTACAGTCAGTGCGTTAACCTCGACCTCCGCTCCGTCTCCAGCCGACGTCCACATCTTCAACGCACTGATCCTGGCCGCGCCGTTCGTCAGAGAGAAGTACGCCGAGAGATGGGAGCTGATGGAGGTAACGGTGCGTTCACATCTGAGAGCTGCAGGAGTCTCTGCTCAATCCTGATGACGGTGTGTGTGTGTGTGTGTGTGTGTGTGAGCAGGAGCTGCTGACTCAGATGAACCAACAGTCGGTTCAACCTTCTCTCCTGACCTTCAACAACATCCTGAAGTCCCTCAGACGCTGTGACTCTTTGGCCAGGTCCAAATCTCTGCAGATCCTGAGTGAAATGAAGGCTGTTGGACTAGGTGAGTGTGTGACCACACACACACACACACACACACCCCTACAGTAATATCAGACGCTACAGTTCCTGTGTGTTCTCAGTCCCCAGTCTGGCCACCTACAACCACGTCCTGGGCATCTTCTACAAAACCTGTGAGTGTCATGTGACTTCACCTCCAGTCCAACAGTGTCTGTGTTTCCACATGATTTGATGGTTGTTGTTGTTGTTGTTGTTGTTTTTACAGCTTTTACTGCCAAAAAAACCAACATTTTACAGGAGATCTTGTCAGAGCTGCGAGGAAAACAGTTCACCTGTCAGGACCCTGACGATGGTATGGACCTGTGTGTCTGTGTTGAAACCACATCGCAGTGTGAATCCAGTGTGAATCCAGTGTGAATCCAGTGTGAATCCTAATGTGTGTCTGATCTTTTTGTCTCTTCCAGTTCACTTCTTCAGAACTGCCATGAAAATAGTAAGTCTTCTCTTCCCTCCGTCTGTTTAATGGAGTCAGGTTTGTCTGAGTTTGAGGTATTTTGGATTTAGATTTCACTCCTCTCTGATTGGTCCAATGTGTTCGTTACGTTCGTCTGTTCAGACTCAGACTCATGGAGTCGTAGAGACTGTGTTCTCAGTGAGGTTCTCCTGAGGACTGGGTCGGCTGGTTTTGGTGTTTTTAATTATTTTCATGAATGAACCTTGAATCCAGAGTTGTTTTGAACTCTTTCCTCTTCACTGACTCCACCTGTGGCTCCTCCTCTTCCTCCTCTTCCTCCTCCTCTTCCTGTCTCTGCTGTGACAGTGTCTGGACATCAAAGACCTGGAACTGGGTTATGAAGTGCAACGTTTAGTAGAAGTGGGCGAGAACTGGAGGCTGCTGGGAAATGACTCCCAGTCCACTGGTTACTAGTGAGTAAAAACATCACTCCAAAGGTCACATGACCTGACCTGACCTGAGGGGGGTCTTCATGAAGATATCTTCCTGTTCCTCCTTCCTCTGCAGTGGTGTCTTCTTCAACCTGCTCTGTATGATGGAGAACGTCGATGGTGTGTTGAAGTGGTACAAACATCTGGTTCCCTCGGTGAGTACCAACGCCTTCTCTGTGCTGGACGTCATCTGCATCAAGATAGGAGTAAAAGTACCATGAAACCAGGCCCTCTGGTCCTCCACTGATGATGATGAAGATGAAGATGATGAAGATGACGGTGCTGCTCTTCTCTCCTCTCTGTCCTCAGCTGTTCTACCTGAACTCCCAGGCCACCAGGTCCCTGTTCCAGGCTCTGGACACAGACAGTCGTCTGGATCTGCTGCCGCTCATATGGAAAGGTCAGTTCAGGAGTCTTGGGTTCCTCAGCTACACCCGTCGTCACCCCGTCTTTTTCTGACCTGCTGCTCCACCTGTGTTTTCAGACATGAAGTCTTCAGGTCTTGACAAATTCTCAGACCTGGTGGAGGATCTGCTGACCCTCATGGCCAGGGAGGAGCACAGTCCTGAGGTGAGTGGGAGGAGCTAACGGTGGAGCCCGGCGGCTGACCTGGCTGTACTGTGGCTCAGTGTGTTCTCAGTGTGTTCTCAGTGTGTTCTCAGTGTGTTCTCAGTGTGTTCTCAGTGTGTTCTCAGTGTGTTCTCAGTGTGTTCTCAGTGTGTTCTCAGTGTGTTCTCAGTGTGTTCTCAGTGTGTTCTCAGTGTGTTCTCAGTGTGTTCTCAGTCACCTGACCTGGTCCGGCTCGTCCCTGAAGAACCTGACCGTCCTGCTGCTGAGAGCCAACATGATCCAGGCCTGGTGAGTAGGTGACGGAGACGCCGTCCTCGTCCTCGTCCTCGTCCTCACACTCTGGTCGGCTCACAGCAGTGTCTCCTTCTACATTCTGTCTGCAGGAACATGCTGCAGCTGTTCAAGTCCACCAACAGAGTTCCACCGTGAGTCCGCTGCTGACCGTCCACCCGCCTTTACCACAATCCTTCTTTGACCCCAGGGCTGTCCAGCTCACTGCTGCCCTCTGTCTGTCTTCTCAGGGAGAACCTGTTGAAGGACTTCCTGTCCGTGTGTCAGAGCCACGGCTCAGCTCCGACAGCGGTGGAGCTGGTCAAGCTCTCCGCTGCTTTTTGTCTGCCCTCTACAGCACAGCTGGCCAATCAGACGCTGGCAACCTTTGACCTGACGGACGAGCAGAGGTGAGCTGGCTCTGCTCTTCTTCTTCTACTGCCCTCTACTGACACAATCTTAGAATACTACTGTAACACTACCAGTACTACTACTAGTACTAGTACTACTACTAGTACTACAACCAGTACCTGCTGTGACAGTGTTGTACTGTTTCTCTGTCCAGAACCCTGGTGTCTGAGCTGTGTGGGGGGGGGGAGTCGTCAGACTGAAGGACCAACCACATCCATGACTTCACCTTCAACTCCGTGGTGTTTTAGTCATAAAAATATATTTGGGATTCAAACATGAGGTTTGGTTTTTGCAGCTAATGGTCATTCCTACTGTTTGGGACTGGGGGGGGGGCGGGGGGGGGGGGGTCACGGTGGGGTCCAGGACACGCTGAGTCACAGAAATAAAGAATTTGAACAGACAGTCGAACATTTTTTGTTCAATAACATAAATTAAGAAATAATAAAAATGTCAGCATCAACAGGATGTTGTTCCAGTTCAACGACAATGAAATAAGAACTGTGTGTGTGTGTGTGTGTGTGTGTGTGTGTGTGCGGTTGATGAGGCTGTGCTGCTGGTCCTCATTCTGAGGTCAAAGGTCATTATGTCATCATGTTCTGATTAAAAAAATAAAATTGTAAACTGTTGCCCACGTGTCTGAACTAAACATTAATATGAAGACAAACACACATGTTCACCTCAAGGGGGAGCCACACTTTGACACATGCGTTAGGACACAGTTGTATCAAAAGGCCAATTAAGACTCAGAATATTCAGTATATTTGAACAGCTGCCCTCTACAGGCCATGTGTGGACATTACTTTAGCTGAGACTTCTGTGTGGTCTGTAGCTCTGACCCAGTGGACGGGGTCAGAACCAGAATCCACCCACTGCTGATCTGCCCCCGGGGTCGCCCCCACTCCAGCGCTGAGACTTCCTGAAGAGTCTGCAGGAAGTCAACACAGCTGCAATACCGACAGTAACCACTGTGTGGTGCTGTGGCAGTGGGCCTGCTTTGGTTGACGGTGTTGGTGTCTGAAGTGAGAAGTATGACATCTAGCTGCTCTAGTTCTACGTTCTCTTCGTCAGGATGTTGAGACTCAAAAACTCAGATAAGAATTTCCCAGAGTTCATTCACGACAATGAGCCGTCATGGCCGACAGGAAACAGATGTTTGGTTTTCTGTGGTTCAGCGGTGACTGATCCACTTCCTGTTGTTGCCCCACGGGTCTGGAATGATCCGGAATGGTTGTTTGTTTACTAACTTGTTGTTTGTGTTGTGTGGCCAGATGAAGAACTGCACTGACCGTGTCCTGACAGATGGACCGGGTCAAGCCCAGTGTCTGTGGAACCAGAGTCAACAGTACCAGTGCAGCTGTGTGTAGAACACAACAAGTCAGCACAGGTGTGTGTGTGTGTGTGTGTGTGTGTCCACAGAGAAATGTCCCAGTTTCAAACCAATCACCTCCTGAGCTCACAGCACAGCCAAATAAGGACAAGTGTGTGAGCGAACGGATGGGGGCGTGGCCTTAACATGGGTGTGGTCAGAGAGGCAGAACGTGTTGGAGTCCAGATAGAAGTACTTAAAGTACTCACTGAAACACAAAAGTACTTCACTGTACTGTCACCTGCTGCACCGTTGGTCTGAAAAAAGAAGAAAGATGGATGGATGATGGATGGATGGATGGATGATGGATGGATGGATGGATGCTGACCTCAGCTTGGTTTTTCTTTGACTGATTAAAGTCCAAACAGAACAACTCATCAGTTCTGTGCAGGACATCAATCAAACCAGTAGGGGGCGCAGCTTCTTACAGACTCTCCTTCCTCCAACATCTTTCTCTGACTGGAGGTCAGAGGTCAATTGAAGATGCAGCAAGAGCTGGTGGTGAAAATTCAGAAATGTATTGTCCAATGAGAAGACATTCTCCCCCCCCTCACCCCCCCCACCTCTGCTGTTAGAACATGTTCCACCTCTGCTGTTAGAACATGTTCCACCTCTGCTGTTAGAACATCCAACACAGTTCTGCCTGTGGGTCTGAAACAGAGGAGGAATTCACCTGGACAAGACAGAACCTATCACTCCAGGGGGGTGAGGGGGGGTCAGACTCAGTGAATCATCTTCATCCTGTTCATCCGTTCACACTCACATTCACACCGTCTCCGTGTTCACTCCGTGGGAGTCGTTTCTAAATCAATGATTTTTACTAATCATCTAAACTTCAATATCTCTCTATTTTCTCATGTGTAATACTTTAATCTACAGAGTTCCTAAAGGGACTTTATCTAGAACTGTTAGCGGAAACATTCATTCGTGTATTTGTTTTCCCATGTTCCTGTAGGGGGCACTGTATCAGTCTTTACACCAAACTGTAGTGAACACTTAACCTAATCTCCAAACTGCATGTTTTTGGTTCCATCGCCAGCAGATGGAGCTGGGGATGGAACCACTGACCTTCTCACTGTACGGCAGGAGCGGTGTCCGCTCTTTGACCACGTGACCCAGAGTGTGTTATGAATGAATCCAATCATAACTGCTCAGATGGTAAACACCGACACTTCTCTGTTGTGGAGCGGACTGAGGCGTGGTCAGGGGGGGCAGAGGGGCGGGGCCGAGCCCTCCTCCTTCTCCTCCTCCTTCTCCTCCTCCTCCTCCTGAAGAAAAGGACAGAGAGGAGCGGAGACAGGCTGAGACAGAGTTTCTCCTCCCGGGTCACAGCGGTCCGTCCAGTCGACAGAGGAGGTTGTTCTGCGTTTACTTTTGACTTCATTCTGTGAGTAACGGAGCTGCGACACGAGCGCCACCTGTGTTCAGAAAGGTGTGAAAGAGGGTGAAAGGTTTAGTGACTTTTTTATGTTAGTACTCTGACCAGGTTAGTAGTAACTCAGCGGTGTGTGATGAAAGTGTGAGGCGGGGGAGGTTTGATGACGTCAGTGTCGGTGAGTGGACACGTTAATTAGCTCGTCAGTTAGCTCGTCAGTTAGCTCGTCAGTTAGCTCGTTAGCTCATCTTAAAACCAAACACACTCTTCAGTGATGAGATGGTGTTTTGTTTGTCAACATGTTTGAATTATTTTTATCTGGTCTTAAAATGAATAATAATAATAATAATAATAATAATAATAATAATTATTATTATTATTATTATTATTATTATTCTGTTCCACTGGTCGTTTAAGATAAAGTGACGTAGAAGAATCCTCCACCTGTGGGTGTAGTTTTTGGATGACTTTACAGGTTTCTTAAATGCTAGTACTGGTACTTGTACTAGTACTAGTACCAGTACTAGTACTAGTACTGGTACTAGTACTAGTACTGTGTTGGTGTTAGACCTTGTGTGAACCTGAGTCCTTGTTGTGATGATCCAGTACAGACCACATTCCTCTGCTCTGTTGACTGTCTGTTGACTGTCTGTTGACTGTCTGTTGACTGCTGAGCTGAAATACCTGTTTAACACACACACACACGTGTCATTCCAAAACATAATTAAATGGTATCAAGTGTGTGTGTGTGTGTGTGTGGTGTCATGTGACCTTGCGTGGCCTGAGGAGAGCCCAGGTCGTGAGCCCAGGTCGTGAACCCAGGGTGTGGTCTGGTCAGACCCACTCAGCGTTGTTTGCATGTTTGGGACGGACGCCCATTTGTTTATGTGTCACGTGATCGCGGCCCAGGTCAGGACTTGTCGTGAGACGCAGAGACGGCGAGGAGCACGGATTGGAATGTCGACTATTTTTGTTGTCTTTTGTCAGATTTGTGTGCGTGCAGCCGTGAAGCGAGCCACAGACCTGACGTTGATGACTGACACACCATGTGACTGTGGTGTTTGCTGTGTTGTCGTCTGTTATTACCAGGTGTCAACATGTCGTCAACACTCAGCCAGGAGCAGCTCCAGGAAATCAGGGAACGCTTTGACGCCTACGGTGGGTAAAACTAACCCCACAGTACTACGTACTACAGTACTGCGTGTACTAGTACACAAACACAGAGTATTTGTTAATCAGTCCCTGATTGGTTCACCGTGTGTTGACATCATCTCGACCAGTGTTTGTCAGCCTCAACACCCAGAAGTACATGAGACGGAGTATAAACCACAGGATCAAATACTGCAGTACTACAGACTGGTTGGTACTGGTACTGTAGTAAACCTGAGGGGAGTACCAGGACTGACCATGGTCTCCCCTGGTTTCTGTCTCACCTGTAGATGTGGATAAAAACGGTCACATCACCTCGTCTGAGATCAGTAATGTTTTAGACGACGTGGGACAGTCGCTGCCTGGATACAGGATCAGGGAACTGGTCCAGGGTCTGGACCTGGATAAGAACGGTACCATCGAGTTCTCAGAGTTCCTAAAGGTGGGTTATAGAACTGACTGTCTGACTGACTGTCTGTCTGACTGACTGTCTGACTGACTGTCTGACTGACTGTCTGACTGACTGTCTGACTGACTGTCTGACTGACTGTCTGACTGACTGTCTGACTGACTGTCTGACTGACTGTCTGACTGACTGTCTGACTGACTGTCTGACTGACTGTCTGACTGACTGACTGACTGTCTGTCTGACTGTCTGTCTGACTGACTGATTGACTGACTGTCTGACTGACTATCTGACTGTCTGTCTGACTGTCTGTCTGTCTGTCTGTCTATCTGTAAGTCTGACTGACTATAAGACTGACTGTCTGTCTGACTGACTGTCTGTAAGTCTGTCTGTCGGTGTGTTTTTTCCGTTACAGATTTACGAAGACGCCACCGTGGACAATGTGGGAAATACTTTTAAAACACTTCTGGTCAAGAAGACGGGCATCACTGCCATCGGAGGAACCAGCACAATCTCCAGTGAAGGAACTCAACACTCCATCTCAGGTGACTCATCGGAGCGTACTGACCAGTACCAGTACCAGTACCAGTACCAGTATCTGTTCATCCTGGTCCTGACTCTTGGTTTCAGACCAAGAACGTTTCGCCTTCGCCAACTACATCAACTCCAGTCTGGAGACCGACCCAGACTGTGCCCACATCCTGCCCATCAACCCAAACACCGGGGCGCTGTTCCAGGCTGTGGCCGACGGCATCCTGCTCTGGTAAGTGAGGAACCTTTGACCTTTGACCTTAACTCTGTCACGGTGC